TTGAACGATTGGAGGGGACTCTTGAGGGATGACAGGTGAGTCGGGCTTCTTCTTACGGAGTCTTCGCACCATTGGGGTGAACGGAGACGTAATAGCACGTCCGCGCCGTCTGATGCGTGAACTCCGTCGTGCAAGGAAAACCCGACGTAAAGCATCCACCTTATCGGGCCGCTAAAAAAAATTAATACATAAATCAGTAAATAAACAGACATGATATTAAACAAAGACAAATATGTTTCAAACTAGCATTGTATTCACCCAAGTCATTATTCTATCATAGTTCACAAAATGCTCAGATAACATTCCAGAAGTAAGCACTTATATAAACATTTAAAAGGACAACATATATAAACATTCCATAAGAAGAATAGTTTACTTTCGCAGCACGAAACTTAAAATTGCAACGCGAAAATGACTATCGCAACGCGGAAATGGCTATCGCAATGCAAAATGAAAATTGCAACAACAAAATCGCAATGCGAAATGAAAATCGCAACGACAAAATCGCAATGCGAAATGAAATCGCAACGACAAAATCGCAACGCGAAACACAAATTGCATTGCGATTTTCATTTCGCATTGCGATTTTGTCGTTGCGATTTTCATTTCGCATTGCGATAGCCATTTCCGCGTTGCGATAGTCATTTTCGTGTTGCGAAAGTAAACTATTCTTCTTCTGCAAATTGAAACTTGAATGGATTACATTACTTCAACCAAAAGACAAAAACAAAACCAAAAACAAATACTAACAAAAATAGTTTAGCAGTATTGGCAGCAACCGAATGAATTACGAGTATGAAAAATCTTAAACTTACCTCGTTGCGTAGAGTATGAACCTCATTCTGCAACGATGCTACCATCTCACGTAGAGCGGCTACCTCACCGCGTAATGTAGACACCTCAACACGCCATGTACCATCGTCTTTGCGTAAAGTACCGACCTCCTCACGCAAGGCATTGACCTCATCACGTAACTCCCCTAACTCATTCCGTTGAGGTGGAGGTAGAGAATAGGGAGATAAACGTCGTGGCATCTTTGCCGGTCGCCTATCTTGCGGTGATGGTAGAGAAGAGGCTCGATGATGTGACAGAATAGGTGATGGCTGTCGTTGTGGAGGTGTATAGTCGGGTCGATCAGATGATGGCTCTGGGTGAGGTGATAGCTCTGGGCGAGGTGATGGCTCCCGAAGTGGAGGTTGCTCATCAACCGTTCTATCAAAAAAATGCTTACTAGCTTGCCACCAATCAGTGGCAAGCTCAGCTTCCGTGGGTGTCAGCCTCTGTAGAGGAGTGTTGGCCTCCTAACAATATAAAAGCTCAAACAAAGTTAAACGTGTACTAGTAATAACTTGTTTATAAACATATGATAGTATTTATGTTAACTTACATTATTTATTGTCGTATACCGTAGTAAATCTTCCCATTGCAAGGTCCGTTTCCTCTTCCAGGAAATAGCCCTGGGAATATCATTTGAAATTTTTATTGCATATGTCTTCATGGCGGGAAAGGCCTCAAATATCCAAATCTACAAACAATATAATAACAAACATTAGTAATTGTTAAATAATTACTTATAATTTTGGAAACATTATATAAAAATTCTTACCTTAAAGGCCCAAATAAAGCCTGTCAAAGTGTATTTGGAACCATCGCCATGCAAACTTTTTCGATCATCCAAGGCATACGATAACTTATTCCATGTAGCTTTCCATAAATACGAGCCCCACAGAAACAAGTTCCACGCATTTAGGTCTTCTACCAATTTGATTAGATCATTTGGAATAGGTTGTCTGGCCTCTCTGCCTAAAAAGCCGACATGCAAAAGAATTAGAAGGCATACTCGGACAACGTCGACGTCATCCATCCGAGTAAAACCATCTTTCTTATTCAACAATCTTGTCAGGTCTTCTACGTGTAGATTCGGCCTCTCTAGCTCAAGAAAAACCCGGGATAGCCATGATGGGCGGGTAATGTGTCTAGTGTACCGACCTACATCATCGTGTCCGAAGCGTAGACCGATGATTAAGCAAAACTCCTCCCGCCCAAAACACGTATACGCCGGTGGAAAATCAAACCATATCTCTTCATCACGACATTGTATAGTCTCTGGTAGATCTCTAGTCATGGTTTGAAGAAACAGGTGTGTCAACATCGCATCTCCACCGGGATGTAGTACTTTCAGCCATGGCCCGAAGCATGTATCCTCAAATATTTTTCTTTGTGCAGGTGAAAGCTTCGACGCAATTGTTTTGGCCAGGCTGACTTTATTTCTTAAGGTCAATTGAGCCGAATAAAAGTTCTACAAAAACAATAAACATACTAAGTTAGATATACCAAAAACTACACTGTGAAGATATACCAAAAATAATAATAAACATAAAGAGTAGTAGGTTATTCTTCAAACTTAAATTTGCAACACTGTGAATTTCGTATTTGTCTTTGTTTTTTGGTTGAAGTAATGCAATTCATTCAAGTTTCAATTTGAAGAAGAAGAATAGTTTCTGAAAATGAAAATCGCAACACGAAAATGACTATCGCAACGCGAATTTGACTATCGCAACGAGAGAATCGCAACGCGAAACTAAAATCGCGTTGCGATTTGCATTTCGCTTTGCGATTCTCGATTGATTTAATAAGCAATCTAAGTGAAATGGTATTGAAATTACCAGTAAACTTATCATCAATTTCAATATGAAAAACCTAATAATAATGCAAAAATTTCAAAAAGAAAATAATTAAAAAAACTAACCCTCGTTGGTTGATTTGGTTGATTTTCCATTTCTGATTGTGAGGGTGGCTCTGAGAGATGGAGATAGACGGATTTCGCCGGAGATGGGGACGGATTTCGTCGGAGATGGGTGAGAGAGTGAGAGATGGAGATGGGACTGAGTTGTGATTTTAGGTTTTAGGTTATGAGTTGCGATTACGGGATATACTGTGGACGGTTCAGTGTTCCAATATATTAATATTCATGTTTGGAATTTAAAAATAAAATACTTGGCCAGGATACTAATGGCGCTTTGAAAATCGCATTGCGATTATGTATTATCGCGTTGCAAAAGTCAGAATCGCGTTGCGAAAGTCAGTATCTCGTTGCGATTTTGTATTATCGCATTGCGATAGTAAGTATCGCATTACGATAGTCAGTATCGCATTGCGATTTTCCCAATTCGCGTTGCGATTTACTTATTCGCATTGCGAATTAGGAAAATCGCAACGATACTGTAGACCATCGCAACGCGATTTTCAACTATCGCAACGCGAAATGCAACGCGAATTTGCGATAATGGAGATCGCGTTGCGAATTAGCGATCGCATTGCGATTTTGTTGGTCATTTTGGCAAATCCGGAAAAAGTTGGTTAAAATCGTATATTATATGGGATTTTTGGTCACTGAGGTTATTTTCTCTATATATAATTAGTTGCATGAAAAAATTACTAAAAGTTGGGTGCTATCAGTTTGAAAACAGCTTATTATGAGGAGGGATAGGCTACTTCTCGTGTTGATTTTTCATATTCAATTTGTTTCATTCCAATATCATTTGTAGTGTGTCGATATTAATGTATGATGCTATTTTTATTTATTTGGGGATATTCAATGGTATATTCGTGTCATCATAAACACGTTATTGTATCAAATCAAAGGTGAATAATGTTAAGTTATACCTCGAACTTGGAAGTATTTCATATATTTCGTTAGTGTCATGCTTTGTTGGTTTGTAATAGTTTCATGATATGGTATTCGAGCATTAGATATTAAATTAATAAAATAATCTTAATTAGAAAGGGGGACGGATTAGTTTATAAGCTTCGCTTGATGAATAATTAAGATTCTTGTTATTGATTTATAAAAGTCTAGTGTGCTATTAAATGAAAAGAAATTAGTAAATCGCCTTTATCGATTAGAACCATTAAAATACCCTTATAAATTAAAGCTGTAGTAAATTCTTGAGTAGTGAAATAATAAAATTGTTTTGTGATGTAAAAGCGTTTAAAATACTCAAGTTATATCGATAGTGTAATCTAATTAAAACAAAAAGAAAAATCAAAATAAAATAAAATAATTTTAAAATTAATATATATAAATATAAGCTAAATTAATAATAATTTATTTTGCCACCAAATACACCTACACAAAAATGGTATAAATATGAATCAAAACTCTAACCTTAACATCTTCAATGGAGCTCTTGTATATCGGGTCAAAGCCTACTATTGATCAATAAACTTTATAAGTTAATATGGCAACTAATATAGGTCTTAGGTTTGCATCCTCCTTTCATCATTATTTTCTTAATTTTTACTAATAAAATAATGTTTGGACTCATAATTCTGTCAACCATGACTAGTTTAACGGTTGTTATCTCCAGCATTCTTGTTACCCCTCCGGTAACAGTTGTTAACAACAAATGACTGATTTATTATAATTTAATATAAGACCAAATAAATCAAAATACAAATAAAGGTCCTCTGAATAGACATGTCCTTTAAAGTAATTGAGTATTATACTTTGAAACGAAGATGTTGGAAGTCATGTTGCGATGATGCTCCTCGAACATGCATTATCTATAAACCTGTAAATGGAAACATCTAAACACTAAGCTTTACATTATAAGCATGCTAGACATGCAATTAATAAATATAAGATACTAGATAATATAAACATAAAGGAATAAGTCTAAGCATGCAATGTCATCAATAAGGTAACATGTTAGTCACCTACAGTTTATGATCCACACGATACAATCATCATTCATGGTTTGATTTCTAGCTTAATATTTTATTTTTTAATTGTGGTTAACATCAATTAACATTCAATTCATACATTAAACATATATATATAATATTAACACCTGGTATTGCATAGCAATCAAATAATTGTAATATAAAGGGAAACTCAATCTCACTGATACATCGATAACAATTCTAACTAAGGGTTATATGCTTGTATATTTTGAAGGATACCTACCCATTTGATATACATATTCTAACTTCTAGACATGAATGGGATTCTAGGAAATCTACTTGGGTTGTGCACTATTCCTTGTTGGTGGAACCGTGGTTTGATTAGAATCAAGTAGTCAATCATATACGGTGATATGGTCCAATGGCGTGCGAACACTATGTTCGAATAGTCAGAGAAAGCAGATATGCAGGTCTAATCCTTCATGTCATCTTCTTTCCCCTTTTCTTATGGTTAAGGTTATTTTTTGGAATGTTCAGGGAGCTCGGGACCCTGATTTCAATAGATATTTTAAGTTATTGATGAAGTCTAAATAACCGGATGTTGTTGCTATTTTGGAACCAAGAATTAGTGGTATTGATGCTGATCAGTTTATAAAGAACTCGGGTTTTGAGTTCTCCTATCGTGTTGAAGCTTCAGGGTTTTCTGGTGGCATTTGGATACTTTGGAAGAATTCTTTTCATATTACTATCCTGGTTGTTTCACGACAATATATTCATGCAGCGTGTTCAATGACGGATGTAGAAAAATAATGCTTTATTACGTTTGTTTATGCTAGTCCTGCGATTGGGATTAGAAACAAGTTGTGGAGGCATTTAAAAGAATTGGATCCAGGTTTGGGGTTGCCGTGGTTGCTTGGTAGGGATTTTAATGTTATTAGTAATTATGGTGAACGACAAGGTGGTTCTCAACGGCGCCATGGAGTTTGCGTAAAATTTGGTGAATTTATGTTCGATATAGGGTTGATTGATATGGGGTTTTCAAGTCCAAAGTTCACTTGGAAACGTGGAACCCTTTCTAAAAGGTTGGATAGGTGTATTTGCAATGCTGAGTGGTATGATTACTTTGAAAATTCTGAAGTCTTTCACCTCCAAAAATTGGGTTCGGATCATCGACCCATTCTCCTTAAGTTTGGGGAGCAGCAGGAGGCTTCCCATAATCGATATTTCCGATACATTGATGCTTGGAGTGATCACCCAGATTTCCAAAACTTACTGATGAATTCTTGGAAAAATGATAGAGACTTATACGAAAATATACTTGAATTCCAAGCTCAAAGTACCAAGTGGAATAAAGAGGTGTTTGGGCATATTGGGAGGCGTAAGAATTTGTTGCTTGCTCGAATCCATGAAGTTGAAAAAGCAGTGGATAATTCCAATGATCATGCTCTACTAGATCTAGAGACAAGGCTTAAAAAGGAGTTGAACGTAGTTCTCGCTCAAGAAGAAAGCTTGTGGAACCAAAAAAGCTAGAACCACTTGGATCGCGAATGGGGATAGGAATACCTCTTTCTTTCACGCATCGACTATTAACCGTCGGAAGCACAACACAATTAGTATATTGAAGTTGCCTGATGGTTCTTGGTGTAGTGACTATGTGTTTCTCAAAGATCATGCAATTAATTTTTTCCAGAAACTATTTACGAGCGAGCGAAGGATGCCTATTATTGATATTGGGAGGGGCAATTTCTTTCGTATGGGGATGATGTTCTTCGGCCATTGGTTCGTGATATTTCATTGGAAGAGGTTAGAAGTGTTATCCTTAGTATGGCTCCCTTGAAAGCCCCGGGCGCGGATGGAATCCATGCAACGTTTTTTCAGAAGAATTGGAACACAATTGGTGGGTCAGTTTTCCGATTTATCGATCGATTTTTCAAAGATGGATATATAGCTGATTGGGTAAATCAGAATCTGTTGGTGTTGATCCCGAAGGTTAATAATCAAGTCTCAATTACTCAGTTTAGGCCTATTAGTCTGTGTAATGTTCTCTATAAGACCATTACTAAACTGATTGTATGTCGTTTGAAACCGTTTATTCCTAAATGGGTGGACGAAAGTCAAGCTAGTTTTATTCCAGGCCGCCAGATTACAGATAACATTATTCTTGCCCAGGAGGTTATTCATTCGATGACAAAGAAGAAGGGTATAATAGGATGGATCGCAATCAAGGTGGATTTGGAGAAGGCTTATGATTGCCTGGAATGGAATTATATCGAGAACACTCTTCATGCAATTAGCCTACTGGAAGTACTCATTTCTCGTATCATGTGTTGTGTTAGATCTGTGTCGACACAGATTCTATGGAATGGGGATATTACGGATCCCTTTAAGCCTACGAGGGGTATTCGACAGGGGATCCACTATCGCCTTATTTATTTGTCTTATGTATGGAGAGACTGTCTCAAGCTATAAAGAAGAAAGTAGGTTCGGATGACTGGAAGTAGATTTATCTCTCAAAGGAGGGGCCTGGGTTATCCCATCTCTTCTTCGCAGATGATTTAGTGTTGTTTGCTAAAGCATCATTGGATCACGTTTCGATAATCAAGGGTGTTTTGGACAGGTTTTGTGATGAATCAGGACACCACATTAGCTCAGCTAAAACTCAGATTTTCTTTTCAAGTAACTGTCCAGTAAGCACTCGTCAGGCTATTTCTCAAAGTTTCGGTTTTGAGGAGGTTTAGATCTTGGCAAATATCTAGGTGTCCCGTTACTCCATAATAGAGTCACTAAAGCCACATACTCTTATCTCATTGATAGATTGAATCAACGACTGTCGGGTTGGGTGGTGAAATGTCTTACTTTAGCAGGTCGTATAACACTTGCTAAGGCTACACTTCAGGCTATCCCGGTCTATGTGATGCAATCAACTTGGATACCGAAAAGTTTGTGTATTGAAATAGAAAAGATTATTCGAAGATTTGTATGGGGCTCGAATAATGGTGGTACTGGTATTCCCCTGGTTAAATGGGAATCTATGCAGCAGCCAATAAAATTTGGAGGTGTGGGTATTCGGAATCTATATAATCAAAAAAAGGCATTCTTGATGAAGATGGGTTTCCAATTGATAACCAATCCGGAGAAACTTTGGGTTCGCACTCTTCGTGGAAAATATAAATGGGACAGTCTTGTTCCTGTTTCATTAAATCACACTAATGGCTCCCGCTTGTGGAAAGGATTACGATACATTTGGAGTGAGTTGTACGATAATATCGCTTGGAACATACGGGATGGGCGAGATACAGATTTTTGGTATGATCATTGGCTTGTTACTGAAAATCATCTTGTATTCTTCTATACAGGAGCAGGCACACCAAGACCCACCTCGGTTAGCGATATGGTTCTCCCTTCAGGTTCGTGGAATTGGGGCAAGCTTTCGCCATTACTCCCTGAACATGTACTTCAAAGAATTACTGATGTCCAACCACCCCAAGATTACTTGGGTACTGATACACCCGGGTGGAGATGGGAGCCCCATAGAAATTTCACTACAAGGTCAGCCTATACTGAAATCACATGCCTTGACAATAGTAAGGAACATCCTCTATGGAGTTTGATTTGGAAGCTAGAAGTTCCACAAAGAATTCGTACTTTTCTTTGGCTATTATTCCATGATCGAATTCTTACCAATGCTGAACGATCTCGTCGGCACCTTTCTAGCCTAGTGGATTGTAAGATTTGTGGGGCTGTTAGGGAGGATGCTGACCATATTTTGCGTCATTACAGTATGGCTATGAATCTGTGGGTAAGGGTTATCAAGCCTGAGAAGCTTAATGAGTTCTTGGCTCTTCCTTACAAGATTTGGATTGAACGTAACTTAAGGGCTACTGAAGTGTATGCACGAATGAATGATAATTGGGATATTTGCTTCTCTATTTACTGTTGGCACCTTTGGAAAAGAAGATGTAGTATTCTCTTTGATCCAAATTATGTGGAAAGAGAGGAGTTCATTTATCGTTTCGATCGCTTTGTTGATGATATTGTGATTGCTAAGGTTAGCACCACTAATTCTAGTCCATCGATATCTAGAAGTATTTTGTCTTGGATTCGGCCTCCCACAGGTTGGATTAAAGGAAATTCGGATGGGGCTGTAAGAACGTGTGATAATATGGCGGCTGCAGGAGGTGATCTGCGTAACTCTGAGGGAGAATGGATTTTTGGTTTCACGCGTAGCCTAGGAAGGTGTTCGATTCTTACCGCTGAGTTGTGGGGTGTTCATGATCTCTTGTTGCATGCTTGGAGGCTAGGGTTTCAAAAAATTGAATTGGAAACCGATAATCTAGAGGTTATGAAGATCTACACTTTTTCTTCGGCTGCGCTTGTGGGGAGTGCTTTGGTTACTAAAATCCATGAGCTGCTCGAACTTGAGTGGATCATAAAGGTATCACATATATGTAGGGAGCAAAATATGGTTGCGGATAGGCTGGCTACTTTGAGTCGAGGAGCCCCCATTGCTGCTACTGTTTTCTTAGAGCCACCTTCGGAGTTATCTTCCACGCTACTGCGAGATCTTTGGTTAGGGTTGAATCAGAAGAAAAATATCATAGGCTCAAAAGGGGACACAAGAGATATATATATTTTCTGCTGTTGTGAAGGGATAAAGAAAGAAAGCCTTTCATCATTTCATACATGGAAGTCTTCACAGAAGAGGTATCCCAGGGGGATAGATTTTCAGAATTAATTTTATTCACATGAAAATAGTGTAATTAATGCATGATAGAATTATTTCGAATGAATTCTTCTTTATTCTTCTTGCTCCCAACATGTCTCAATGTTCAGGCTCCCTGCGAGATGCCCCATGTTGTGTCTTAGAAGAATTCTCATGTTTAAATGAACAACTCAATGCCTTGGGTTTTAGTGGTATAAAAAAGTCAATTTTGAGTCTAAAAAGACAATGGTGTGACTTTATTGACTCAAAGAAAGGTTCAAAAGTTTCAAAGAGTGGTAATGTCAAAATATGGTCTTTTGGTAATGACCATGACTTATTTTGGGTAAAGAATCAAGGTATTTTTATTTTGGGGTTTAAGACAAGATAAGAAAGGTCTAATCTTGCCATATGTCAAAAATCTATAATTCTTTAAGAATTAAAAGAATCCTTAATTCATTTAATATTCGACGAACTAAAGATTAAAATTTGTTCAATTATTCCACCTTAGAAAGTAGCATACATTCAATCGTTTAAAAGATTAAGAAAACATGAAAGATCAAAGACGTGTTCAAACAAAACAATGCTCTAAGTGCAAATGGTATATGCAATGCCCTCTTCTTCGGCTGTTCATGCCCCTGAATCCATCAAGTTTTGCGCTTTGGTGACTTATAGTTATTTGGGGAGTGTTTGGAGCATCCTATGTGGCAACTGCAAACAGCTTCAACATCGTAGCCCTTAGGATATGTGGACTCTTTTCTCAGATCATCCTGACAGTCTTAGTCATATAATAAGCTGATCGAGCTCCCACTGTACTGATTTCAATTTTTTCTTTTGATGTTACAATCTTTCTTGTGGTGTCATGTGGTTAAAACCACTTCATCGAATCCTCCATGAAGAAATTTCAATGTTTATGAAAATACTTAAAAATGAAATGTAGATGCAAAATGAAAAAGTGCATGAAATGTTTGAGGCATTGATCCGAAAATATGTCTGTTATTATAAATAATCTTTATTGGGACAAAAGTGTTTTATCTTTTAAGAGACAATAAACATATTTAAAGGTACATCCGGACTAAATCCTCTAGACCCTGAAATAAGTTGACTAGTCTTCTGGCTTCGTCTGTCACCGGTCAAATACCCTACCGAATCGCTTCGGCTTCTCTGGCTAAATCGTGCAAGTAATGAGCTGTTTTTTGTACTTGTTCCCAGAAGTATCAAATGGCTGCATCTCTGGCTTTCATCCTTTGTTGAACCTGTTCTATAACGGAAACGCCATTGAAATCCTCCATCAAAGGGATTATCCGAAGTTCATTGAATTTGTCGACAATGACTTCCAATTCAGCTATTGTTTTGTCATCTTGTTCTTGTTATCTTTGAAAGGACTCTCGAGGTCAGTAACCTTTTTCTCGTCTTGCCCCTTCCACCTTTGTCAACCCATTTTTGAAAAGTTGACTTTGTATCTATTTGATTGTGGGCACCATGTCTTCTTGATCGAATGTGACACATAGTTGTCTTGCAGATTGTCATCATTTTCTTTTTGAGTCTTTTTTGACCATAGCCGGACCACTGCGTTTTTCACCTCTTGTATTACAACCCCTTTGTCCATTAATGCAAATTATTTAGGTTTAGCGAACATGTTTTAGATGGATCAACACCTTTTTTGAATGATGCAGATGATGTAAATAAAATAAAAGAGAGAGAAAATGAAAAAAGTTAGTAACGTAAATGTAATAATCAAAACAATCATGAAAATAAAAGTTCTACCCCACATGATATCTACCCCACATACTTATTATTCCTACCCGAACATGATCTCTATCCCACGTGT